GGCTTTTTTTCTTCTCAAATTAGTAATTGATGACACTTTCTATTATTGTGGCTCAAACCCATTGACAATCCTACTCAAAGAAATAAGTTGTTACTTAAGCAAAACATGCGAGTTTCCAGTCTTTCTCAATTAACTGATAGATGGAGGATTGAAGTTACCATTAAACGGTTCTCTAGCAGGTTAATAGATCACTTCATCATAATATACATATCGTATGTCCTATGTTAAGTAAAGATTTTGAGACAATAAACTCAATTTTGTATTTCAAGTATCCAAAATAAATTTCTTTATATGAGATATTTTATTTAATGACTAACATTATTGAATAATCATTAAAGACATAAAACTATATTTTGATACTTACAATCATAACCAATCAATTAAGCTATTTTCATTTGAACTCTAATCATACTCTAAATCATTAGAATGACGCATGATTGGTTGGATTTGCTGTCATGCATCAATTTGGCCGTTTTTAGCCAAATTTACAGCCAAATGACTACCAAGATAGGGTCGTGTCAACGGCCAGATCTTTGGCTGTATATCTGACTGTTTTCGGCTAAATCCATGGTGAACATGGCTAGAAGCAGACAGATCAGCTAGATCCTGATCGTGAGTCATTCTAGTGCCGACGGTGATTGTTGGCAAGCGACTGTTGCTTGAGTAGATGGGGGATTTTTTTTTGTTAATTTATAAACTTTTATTAAGAAATGTAATTGTTAAATATTTTGAGTTGAATATAATATGTTAATTTTGAATTAAATATTAATATAAATAAATATATTTTTTACTTTTTAGGATAAGGTAGCAAAATAAAATAGGATAATATATTTGAATTGTTCACATGATCAGCTGGATCCCACTGGTCGTGTGCCGATTTGGGTTTTTCCGACCATATCTACGACCAAAGATCTAGCCGAAAAAATGCTAGATCGACACACGAACGGCTAGATCCAACCGGTCGTAAGCCATTCTGGTAGATTCCAGCCACCTTCCAGCGGTGGTGGCTGGCTAGTGGGAATATGTGGGTGGATGGGGTGTTTTTGTCAATTTATAAACTTTTATTGTTGAAGGATGTTTTATAAATTAACAAACCTGGAGGTTAAAAATAAACATTTTTAGTTGAATAAAATAGAATTGAATTTTGAATATTAAAACAAATTGTATTTGGTAGGATAGGAAAAGAATAGTAAAACAAGCACAGCCAAAGTTTTATATGGTAATCAATAAATTTATCCAATTTGTTTTAATCAGAAGCTATGATTTGACCCAAAAATTATAATATGGGTAAATGATATAAACTTGATTCAAGCAAAATCTATGATAAAGAGGAAATGATAATTGCTCCATTAAGCTGCACCATGAGTTTGATGTTGTTCACCCAATGCCCATATGTTTTATATCCTTGATATAATTTTGTAAGAGGCCTTAGAGAATTGGTGGATCTAAAAGTTTAGTTTTATATTGGGCCAGTTGGGCCTTTATTGGGCTTTATAACTTCTGAAATGAGCCTTCATGCTTTCAGCCTAACTACCGATATCTTCCTAAAAAATAAATATGAATTGGTCCTCCTCTCTTTATTTTGATTTAAGTTGGATTGTGAATTTGTGTTTATAAATGATGAAAAAAAAAATATCCTTATTAAACTTATACAGCTCTTTATTATCATTTTCATTTAAAATTACTGTAAAAAGTCACATCAACTAATACTCTAGACTTTGAGATTGACAACGACCAGATAAACCTTTCAGTAGTCACCCCTATTAAGGTCTGTGAGGATTCGAACTCAAAAGTTCATAGTGTCTTTTTTTTTATTTCTTTTACATCAGACTATCTAGTAATGATTACTCATATGATATTTTGATAAATAAATATATAGAGAAGATAATACTCAAAAAGAACAAAAAAAGGAGATTTGAGTGGAAATGAAGAGAAAATATGGGATCAAATTGTTAATTACACTTAATTAAGGTATCCTCAACATCTAGATACACAGAATGCCAGCTATCAAAGATTTAGTGCAATCTCATGCTGAACTAAATTAATATAAATCTTACGAAATTGAGGTTATCTAATTCCAATACCAAACCCATTTGCAACCGTATCGTTGAACCGTACAATTTAGGAACGTCGGTAATCTTTGAATAAACCAAGACAAAGATACTCCCTCATTCACATTCAAAAAAAAAAAAAAATCCCATTAATAATTAAAGGATAATTAATGTAATTAATAAAATTAATTAATTCAACTCGACAGAAGGAAAACACTAACAAAATTCTAGGTTAGGAAAGGCAAGGACAGGGACCATGTCCCTCACGGGATTATCACGTGCCGACCAGTCTTCTTTGTACTGTACAGCTCTGTAATTTTCTATTACGTCCAAAGAGACAAAAACTGGAGCCCATTCTATCGTTGTCTCCTTGTAATTAAAAATCCTCTTCAGCTTTTTCTTCTTCTTTTTGTGTATAAAAATTGTTTACTTACCTTACATGACTGATCGATCATAACTGGAATAATATTTTATAGAAAAGCCAGTCTAGATGGTTTAGACTCAAATCTTTCCATTAGATTTGGTTAAGATTTTTTTTTTATTTCATACGTATTTTTAAAATTTAGATTTGTTTGTTGCGTAATTAGATAACATTATTTTCTAACAAAAAAGATATATGAAACGGGTTTATCGGAAGGTTATATGAAAATTTACATTACTATTGTTCAGTCGTATTAGGTTTAAAGGCCTCGATGACGCTAAGTCATGTTGCAATAAGTTAAAAGTATAAAAAGACCTACGATGATGATATAGTCGTTGTAGCAATGGGTTGAATATAAATATAAGGGGAAAGTTTATAACAACGCCAGAACTACAAATTTTTTTTTATGATCGGGGGTGTTCAGACCAACTCACGAACATCTTAACTAATCCTTCGAGATCCTAGAACTATCGTCAGATAAGAGTTCCAGTGACTACTTTTATTAGCAACCGAGAAAAGAATTGAACTCAAGACTATTACTCGTTAGCAGCTTGTGAACCACCAAGCTTCAAGCACCGTTGCCACACTCCAGCATCAGCAAAGGAGCCATGTTCCGAGAGCCATCAAGACAGTGTTTGATATGATGAATTTTGGCATAAATATGGAAATGAATCTTAAACCTTAAGAGAAAGAAAATACTCTAAGAAATTCAGAGTACAATAAAACAAAATATCCAAAAGATTAGATTCATCATGCTAGAAAGGTATTATATAATGAAAAGTTTCTTGCTCAACATTATAGTGCTAAGTCAACCAACAAGGACTAATGCATGTTTGTCCAACTAAGGAAAGTATTCTTCTTTTGGTTTGGACCACAAAACAAATCGGGAAGAAAACTTTATCCCATGGACCACTTAAGAATGTTATGACACATGTAAAAAGGTCATAAAACATGAGAGACAAAGATAAACAATATCTTTTTTACTTTATCAGACACGCAACTCGTGTTGAGTACAAATATCTAAAGTGAGAGAGAAAGCAACAACTGTTGTGCACACACTCTCTAAACGAAATAAGCCAAGACTCAAGTTTGGCAACCAGTTTACACACAAACATTGTCCACCATACAATTCATAAGTTTGACAAATGTGAGTTTTCGGCACATCTTTTACCCATTAACGGATTTGACTTGACAAAGAAATTCTAAGTTTGGAAGCGAAGTGGTACATGACAACACTGACGAGAATATACTCTTACTTGAACAGCAAGGTTAATGAAAGCAGAGTAGCCTTTATGCGTGGCATTTCTCCTCTCATCCTCTGTTTTTAACTTTGATTCACCAGTTCTAGAAATAATCTTTTAAGTCTAGGTTGAGCTCTCTGCGTGTAATGAGATGACATGGTTAGTCAAATACTACATTATTGTTAGCAGATGCAGTAATTATACATCAATATTTGGATTCACATCCAAAATGTTTACTAACATTACTCTTCTAAAAAAAGGGTCGACCGAAACAGTGTTTTTCATTAGATTGTATCGAAGAAGTATTAATATGTGAGTATTTATTATCCCGGAAATTCCAATAAATTCAGAACTACATAAGAATGAGATCCACCATCAATCTTTCATTATTCTAAGTACGAAAGCTTCACAGAGTCCAGTAAATCCCACACTTTAACTTGAAATACACAGAAAACAATGGCAAGAAAGGAAGAATAAAAGAGAGCTTTATTTTACAATTCACCTTACTCAGTAAAATACAAAGAAAAAAGATCCAATTTAACATAGTGGGAAGAGATACTAGTTGTGTGAAGAGTGCAGCTACAACTTAATTCCAGTAGGACTGTGAGATGCGTCATAGCTGCCTCATAAGTGGCTGTGTCATCACCAGGTGGAGCTGACTTATCTGGACACATCAGCAGAATGGTAAAGTCAGTTATCATACAAAAGGAATTCCAATCTTTCTCTCGTGTCCTGGAAAAAAAGTTGTCCCTTGCCTTTATCGTGGATCCATTACTGATATGGTTAAGTTATTGTTGTATTCTTTGTCCTGTTTATTCCACTCGCATTGTCCACAACAATCTTTCTTTCAATGGAAAATGCAGGCTGTTTTGGCACTGGCAATTTTACACCTTCACTTGTTGACATAGAAATAACAACTGACATGATAGGTCTGTCCATTGGATTGTGTTCAACACAAGCAAGGCCAAGTTAATACATCTCAAAACTTGGTCCTCACAATATGAATCACGCAGTGTTGGATTCATTAGTCCTGTGGCCACACCTTCTTCCACAACTGCCATGCCTTGTCAAAACAATTAAATAATTATTAAACATTGAGATAAACATATATGTTGGGTTTACACATAATAACACAAAATATTAGTACTGCATTATGAACTTCATATGCAATCAGGTTAAGAGGCTGACCATCATAAAAGATATTGTTGTTGCACCTCCTACCACTTATGATCTCCAAAACTAGAACTCCAAAGCTGAATACATCAGATTTCTCAGAGAGATGCCACTAGCGTATTCAGGAGCCATATAACCACTGAATTTCATTTGTAAAGTACAACCAGTTATTTGTGAAAAAAAAAAATGAATAATCAAGATTCAGTGGAGTAGCAAATTTTAATTTCCACACAAATTCAAAGAGAGATTCTTAAATTTATGTTTACTCACCGTGTGCCCACAACTCTATTCGTATTTGCTTCAGATTGACTTTTGATAAAAACTTTTGCCATACCAAAGTCTGATATCTTGGGATTCATAGTTTTGTCTAGTAATATATTGTTGGCTTTCAAGTCTCTGTGAATTATTTTCAATCTTGAATACTTGTGTAGATAAAGTAGTCCGTGAGCTATTTCTTCAATGATGTTAAAACATTTGTTCCAATCAAACAACTTGCTTTTAGATTCATCTGTTATAATAAAAAAAAAAAGGTTTGAGGAACGTGTAACATAATAATTAAGTAGAAGTTTCAATAATGTGAAGAAACCAAGCATAGATAGTTAAAGAAATATGCATATTTACCAAAAATATATGTGTCCAAGCTTTTATTTGGCATGTATTCGTAGACCAATATTTTCTCTTGCCCTTGAATGCAGAACCCAAGAGCCGCACCAGATTGGTGTGTTGTAATTTAGCTACAATTATAAGCTCATTCTTGAATTCCACTAGTCCTTGTTTGGAACTTCCTGATAGCCTCTTTATTGCTACCTCTTGCCCGTCAGGCAACAAACCCTGTACAATAATAAATAGTCATTGCTTGATATGTTAGACATAAGCCTTTTGTGAAAGCAAAAATACCTTGTAAACAGGTCCAAAACCACCCTCTCCAAGTTTAGTTTCAGATGAGAAATCATCTGTAGCTAGCATAATGGATGACAATTTATATACTTTCAAATTGGCGCCTTTCTTTCCATCGATCTCAAGCTCCTTTGCTTCACTCATTAAGTCAAACATAAACTTTGCTGTTTGGAAATTGAAAAGAAAAAGTTCGATCAGCTTGGCATTCAATAAAATATTTAATCATATTTATTTGCTCTTCATTCCATATATATATGGTTAATCTGTTGTATATATTACCTTCTAGTCGAAATGTTCTCCATCTAATGAAGAAAAAGATACCCACGACGAGTATAACGATTGATCCAACCACTATAGCAAGTGAAATCCCCGTCCATTTCAATATCTCAGGAGCTGCAGCACCTAATAGTGAAATCATTTACACATATAAAAATATTGTCTTCATCTGCTTCTTTGACCATTTTTTTTTTCCAATTAAGTTTGTACGTAGTAAGATACTGAAATTATAATTATAATATTTTTTCCGTTGAGTTCTCATCAAACTAAATTATTTTACCTAGGCGTTTAATTCTATCTACAATAATTTACTATTTTAGAAAATTTTATCTTATCAGAGGGTTTTTTATACTTCGTAATTAGTTTTTAAGAATTTTAAGGAGGTTTAATAATCTCAAGAGGATTTATAGTACCAAATTATATGTGAAATTGAATAATATATAATTTATAATAATAGTCTTCATTCCTAGGAACTACTAAATAAACCTAGCTTGGAGCTAGTAATAGTCAAAACACAATACACTAAATCTAAAATGAAAACAAGGGAGAGTTAATCCATTTTATAAGCGGATGAGTACCGGAATTGAGGAATTCATGAGGAAATAACCCTCCATTTCAACAGACGAACATCCTTTTTACAAAATAATAATAAATATAATTAATAATAATAATTCTCACAAAAAAATTCTGTTTGAAATATTAATAATAGTCCATGCTAAACTGAAGACATAGTATTTTGACTAAAAACCTAAACAAGAGGTAGAGTCTGACGAATAAAACTCAACAAACAAACAAAATCCTTACTGAGGACTTGTTAATTTGATTTTAGGTTGTTGTTTTCAAGTGAACACACAGTAGAAGATATACTTTTTGTTAATTTTATTGCTTATTTTATTTTAGAAACCAAGCAGTTGCGGTGGCGGAGCAAAAGAATTTCACGTGGGCCTAAAGCGAGAGTAAAAAACCAATAAAAGCGTTCCACTTCTACAGCTGTGTATACTATTCAATATTCAAATGCAATCGTCAAACCTGTCAGCTTTTCTTGTCCGGAATTGAAGGAAGCGAAGAGAGATCAAGAGCCTCCAGCTTGTCCTTGATTTTAAACTCCGCCTAAAATATAATGAGAACTGATAACAAACCTGTTGAAGAAGAGAAGCCAATATACATGGACTCAAGAATATTGGTGAAAGATTGACGTTAAACAAGAGGGGCAATCTTGGTTTGGAAGAATTTGGAGAGATGGTGACATTTAACAAATTTTCAGATGCATCGTAATCGATCCAAGCCAGGATTGGTTTTCCACTCATGAGAATCAATTCCGTTTGGTTGAACTTTCATCGATGTGAGCTGCAGTTGAAGACTCATTAGAGATCAAGCTGTTGATGTCGATGCCAACGTGGTTGCCGTCGATGTCGTAACTCAGGACTTTGAATGTATCAAACTCAACAGCAAATAAATGATTTGAAGCTTCCGTTATTGGTCTTATTAAAGACCTAGATAATGACACTACAGTATCATTGAGCTCTTTAGATGGTGAGATGGTGAAGGCCATGCCGTGGCCACCATCATTTGGATAGGAAGGGACGATACCTAGAGCAAATGATGAAGAAAGAAAAGACTCTCCTTTGTCGAGTTCTTGAATTGGATGGCAAGCTAAGAAGGCTGGCCTAGTAAACGTTCACTGTCGTTTGTTAAGCAAAGAACGCCATCTTTCTCAAATTTTGCAGCTCCACTTAAGGTTAGTTTGGCGCTGAAATCTTTGAATCCTGGAAAATGAGTTCATTGCATTGAGTTGGGATGATACTGATGGAGGAAAGAGGAAGCAGAGAAGAACATGAGAAAATTCTGGCCATGATAAGACAAAAAGGGAAAGAACTGTGGACGCTTGAATAAAAAACAACTTGATAAGATTTTGAAGAGGTTTTGGGGTTATTATTTATCATGAGGGACGGAGGTAGAAAATTTGTTCAGAAGAGTCTGACATTGAACCATTTTAAATAAAGAAAAAAGAGTATTTTATTATCTCTAAAATACACATTATATTTCTTTACTAGCACCTGCGGCTTTTTTTTCTCAAATTAGTAATTGATGACGCTTTCTTATTATTGTGGCTCAAACCTATTACAATCCTACTCAAAGAATAAGTTGTTCTTAAGCAAAACATGCGAGTTTCCAGTCTTTCTCAATTAACTGATAGATGGAGGATTGAAGCTACCATTAAACGTTCTCTAGCAGGTTAATATCACTTCTCATAATATACATATCGTATGTCCTATGTTAAGTAAAGATTTTGACAATAAAACTCAATTTTGTATTTCAGTATCCAAATAAATTTCTTTATATGAGATTTTTTATTACAACATATTGAATAATCATTAAATAACATAAAACTATATTTGATACTTACAATCATAACCAATCAATTAAGCTTATTTTTATTTGAACTCTAATCATCTCTATATCATAATTGGGCCATACACTTTTTTTTTTAATAATATATCTATTTTGAATTGAATAAGATATATTTAATCAAATAGGATAAGATTCTAAGAATATGTTTGGTACTTTTTGGAAAACTTTTTTAAAAATTTAGATTATTTTTTAACCCCCTAATTTTAGCTAAAGACCCTGCAAAATAAGTTTATAAATTAAAAAAAACACTTTCACTCACCTAACTGATTGCCGGTAGCTGGCTATTACTATCAGACGGTGGCTAAAAGTCATCGGAATGACGTCATGATTGGTTGGATTTGGCTGGTCATGCACCAATTGTCTGTTTTTGCCAAATCTAACCAATACGACCAAGATATGGTCGTTATCACGGCCAGATCTTTTTTGTACATTTGGATGTTTCCGACTAGATCCATGGTGAACATGGCTAGAAAGAGAAAGAGCGTAGATCTAACTGATCGTGAGTCATTCCGTGCGACGGTGATTGTGCAACGATGTTGCTTGAGTAGAATAGAGATTTTTTTTGTTAATTTATAACTTTATTAAGAAATGTAATTGTTAATATTTTGAATTGAATATAATATGATTAATTTTAATTAAATAGTTATATTAAAATAAATATATTTTTCCTTTTTAGGTAAGATAATAAAATAAAATAGGACATACTATGATCTAAATTCTTCTCTACAACATTAATATTTGATATGACATGGGGTTAGCTGACAAATCAAAACAAGACAGAGCAGGCAATCAACGTCTCTGACTTTCGAAACTTGATTCGTTAAATTTATACATGGTGCTGCTTCTGTTAGCCATTGATAAGGTATTAATAATATTCCAAAACTGATGGAGCCTGCGATAACATCATCAACTAGTCCTTCATTGTAACTGTCATTTCGACAAAATTGTTCAAAGGATGTGCACTGACTAATAGCAAACAACACAAACGAGTGGAAACCGGATCAATTAATGTCGATAGAAATGCTTACCATGAATATTTATTAATCAAATAAATATTATATTAATATAAAAAAAATTACATCTAATATAAATGATACTAAATACAAAATTATAACATAAACGTAAAATTTTAATATAGTAATTTAATTTTCTGAATTAATTTTTATTTTGAGTTATTTTTAATATTTATATTGAATAAATTTATATTTTATTATTTTTTATTATTTTTATTTATTATTATTAGAATTTATTATTAAATAATAATTAAATTAAATTAAATACAAATAATTAATTTGATGTGATTTTTGATATAAAATTTAATGCTAAAATTAACTTAATAAAATTAAAAAAAAAAACATAAAAAGCAAAACCATAAAAAAGAAAAAAAAAATTTATTGGCGCTATAATACCACGCCATTTTGGCGTGGCGTTCGGAGTGGTTTGGCGTGGCGTTTGGAGTGGGTTGGAGATGCCCTTACTATCAGCTGTCATGTCTGCGCCATTAGTCCTTGAGTCATCACTAGTTGGAGCTGACTTGTCTTCACACTTTATTTCACTTTCTTCCATTGGCATTAATTGCTTCTGCAACTTCCCATATCAATCACTGAATCAGATATAGGGCCACGATTTCATACAATAATTCTTTGCAACTTTTGTATTGATTTTTAAAAAATGGGCTACGATTTTTTTTTTTAAAATTGACCCAGATTGCACTGTAGTTGCTTCAACACTGAGATTAATGGCATGTGAATTAAATCATCAATCACAAAAGGAAAAAAAAATAAAAAAAGGACACTACAATTTAATATGATTTAACTTATAGCTTACATCCACCATGAAAAAGAAAGACGTTAATATCTCAAAGAATAAGAAGTGAAAAGTGAAAATTCATACAACTTAATAAGCCAAAACCTAGTGTAAAAAACCCAATAAGAGGCCAAATCATATAATACTTATTAATTATTCAGCAAATTTGAATCTTTGTAACAATATTATGAGACTCGGACCGATCAGATGGTCGAACCGATCTGATTGGGTTTCGCTTATATTTCCGGTTTGAAAAGAGTAAAAACCTAGATTTTTGAATCAGACCGTTTCAAACCGTGGTTTGACCGTATTACTGTAGCAAACCAACGGTCCAACCGATATAATAAAGAAATCCGGTCCACATCAATCCGATCCGCTACTTAAAAATATGAAAAAAATTAAAAAAATTTAAAATCACAGACACAAATCAATGTGTCAAACCCCAATTTTTTAATACATTTCAATTGCGAGATGTCTGCCACTTTTAAAATTTTGCTTTTTGCTTTTGCCTTTTCATTTTGGTTTTCTTTTTTTTTTTTTGGTTTGCTACTTTGCCATTCGCGATCTCCGGTCCAGTCCTCCATTCGCGATCTCGGATCTCCTTCAAGTCTTCACTCTTCAAGTCCTCTTCAATCATCGCGATCTCCTCCTCTTCAATCAACCTCTTCAGGCTCTAGTCTAGTCCTTCATTCGCGATCTCTTTCAAGCTTCAGCTTTCAGCCTTCAAGTCTTCAAAAGATGCAGAAGAAGAAAAGAGAAGAGGAGGTGAGAAAAGAGAAGAAGAAGAGAAAGGGTGAGAAAAAGAGGAGAATATGGAAGAAGTAAAGAAGAAAGAGAAGAGACGGCCAGAGAAGGGTAAAAAAAAAAAAAAAGATGAAGTAGAGAAGAAGAAAGGAAAATGAGCTGACGGGTGAGAAGAAGAAAGGAAGATGATGAAGTGGCATTTTGAAAATATATAATATAAAGAAGAAAGAGATGACGAAAAAGAAAAGGAGTGGAAAAAAAACAAAGGAAAATAAAAAAGAGAAAGGCCAAATGACATGTTAGGAAATAAATATTAAAATATAATATTTGATGATATCAGTCATACCGGTTGGACCGTTCAAACTGGAAACCGGTCACTTACCGATCACCTTCCGATCCGTTTCGGAACATTGCTTTGTAACTTGAGTATCTTCCTTGCAGTTTTTCCGTGTGAATAATTATGACCAAGTATGAACAATATGGAGTAAAATTTTTTTCTTTTGAGTTGGGAGTCTTAAGTTACATTTTGGATGGAGAGTTGGACGTGATTGAGCGAGAGGGAGTCGCATGGGATGTGGAGAAGACTATATTTGTTGCAGTGGGGAGAATGTTAGAAGAGTAAAACGATTAGAGCTTTTATTATTAGGGAAGAAGATTTGCTTGCTTCATGTTCACAAGCCTGCTCGTGTTGTTGCACTGGGTGAATTGTCGATTAATCCTCTCTCTGGTTTGCGAATTTTATAAGCTAGATGATTGTATTACTCATTTTGTTTTATTTAAAATGAACAAATGAAGAATATTAATTTCTTTCGGAAAAGAAAAAATGAATCGACTTTCTATTTTCGAATTAGATCTTATACAAACTTTGATCATATTCTAAGTTTTAGAATTTTTCTGATAAATTTGTTGCATTATTTGCAGAGGAAAGTAATTATACTGTCGATGAGCGGAAAAAGCATTTAGTTCTAAGCACCTCGTGAACTTGAAAGGCAAAAAGTGCAAGAAATTCTAAATCAATATTTGGTTATTCTCAATCAATGTGAGGTATTGTTTCTTCTCGGTATTTGATCTGGATTTTATTTTTATGCATTCTAAAACAAAGTCAGAAGAATAATGATTTTGATATCATTTGTAGCGGTTGGTTATACTACTACATATTATCTGGTCTTATATTCAAAATTCAAAAGAGTTGTTTGATTTTGATATCATCTGTCTATCTTAGACTTCTCATCTGTCTTTTAATTTCTTTCTTTCATCTTTTACCCATTAACGGATTTTACTTGACACAAGTTTAGGAAGCGAAGTGGTACATGACAACACTGAACGAGATAATACTCTTACGGTGAGCAGGAAGCTTACTGAAAGCAGAGTAGCCTTTACGCGTGGCATTTCCTCCTCTTATCCTCTGTTTTTAACTTTGATTCACCAGTGAAAGAAATAATTTTTTAGGTCTAGGTTGAGCTTTTCTGAGTGTAAAGAGATGACAGGGTACGTGAAATACTACATTACTCTTGAGCAGATGGAAGTAATTATACATTAATATTTGGATTCAAATCCAAAATCTTTACTTAATTTGTATGCAACATTACT